GAGTTTAGTTTTAGGCTGCATAACAAATGAATCAAGTTCCTCCAGTCTCAGTGGAGCTTTGTGATCTGTCCTGGTGCCACACTTGGGAGTGGTGTGGAGCATGTTCAGGAGAGCGGAGGCTGGAAACCACACCATTTGAAAGAACTGGGGATATTTAGTCTGGGAAAGAGAACGCTAGGGGTACGATAGATGTCTTCAAATGTCTGAAGGGCTGTCATATTGCTGAGGAATTGTTTCTTGTGTGTGGTCCTAGGGAAAGTTGTCAGTCACGAGGAGATCTATTTTGGCTCAATGATGGTGCGGGCTTTGAGGGTTCCGACGCAGGCTGGGTCAGGGCGGGGTCAGGGCGCCCCAAGTGCGGCCCCCTGGGCTGGGCGGGTGGCTCCTGGTGCACATTCTACACACACCCCTGCTCTCCCAGCCTCCTTTTGTGAGGTGCTTGTTGCCACACAGTGTTGTAGCTCATTGTGTCCTATGCTTAGAGGATCTATGATTTTCTTTATGCTTAAACAAAATCTGATTACTAAGTATTCCAATTCATCTGTTTGACTTTCACCCTGCTGGCTACTGCAGGAAACGTTTATATATTGACTTGGCATAGACAGAGATGAGTGTGAATTGCCCACCCTCTCACTTCCTTTCAGTCTGGACCATAGTTGGACCCTTCTATTATTCTGGACACATATTCATGGCAGGTGAATAGTATCAAAGTCAAGTCTAATGATGGTCCAGCATACCAGAGACTCGGCTGAGTCAATCTGGTGCTGCAAGGAGCTTTTCAAACGCTGCAGTTCTTGCAGGAAGCCCACAGGGGCTCTCCACAAGGGGGGAGTCCTCCTCCCCTCCTGACATTCCCCCTCCTCCCCCCGGCCCCGGCACACAGAACAATGTGTGATGACTACTCATCAGGAGACCCACAGCACCATCTCCACCAGCCCCCTGAGGCTGTGGATAGCTGTCAAGCACTGGAGTTTCTTCCATGCTTTTATTCTACCCCCACCATTTAAACATCAAGTCCTTTTGTTACTGTCTGCTTAGGATATCTGCAACGTTTTTTGTTTGGTTTTCTCCAAGCACAAAGTAGTTGTTCAATAAAAATTTGCTATTGAATATCCCCATCAGCTGCTTCTTAGTTCAGGTTACTACAGCGATTTTCAACCAGTGTGGCGCAAGAATTTTTAAAACATATACTGTACCTGACTATTTAGTCAGGGCCATGAACCTCTTTTCCCTTGGACTGTCAAGATAAAAAAAATAACAGCCAACACAATAGCCATCCAGTGTTAATAAATAAAAATTATACCTATTTTTTTGTCAGATGGGCAAAAAATGTATTTTTTGGTGTGCCGCAGAATTTTAGTGATTAGTTTCTGTGTGCCATGAGATGAAAAGATTGAAAGCACTGTGCTAACCTATCATTTCATTTCCATACTTAAAAGTCCTCCACGGCGCTCAGGATAAAGTGAAAGGTCCTTACCATGGCAAGCAGGGCCCTTCATGATTCACCTGCTGCCTACCTACCTCCTTTCGCAGCCTTCCCGGACCATTCACCTGGTCAGCCTCCCAGGCTCACCTTCCCATTGTCTGGTGTGTTCCAGAGAGCACTCCCTGCCTCAAACCCCTTCTCTAGGGTTCGCCAACACCCATCTGGGGTAGAACCCTCCTGGGGTGCTTCCCTGGCGCTCTGATCTTGTTCCTTTAGTCGGGCTCATGAGACTGCAGTTGAAGGGCAAAGCAAATCATGTTAGTTTCAGCCCGGGGTCTGGCCAACCGTAGGCTCGCAACCTGTCTGCAGGAAGCATAAAGGGGTCCGCTGTGTCCATGCCCATTTCACAGGCCTCCACCGGCGCTCAAACATGTGGGGTGCGCAGCACGGGGGGCGTCAAGCGAACAGGTTTTATTTCTTGCTCAGCCATTAACAAAACATAAGACTTTAGAGGAGGGCAGGAGGGTAATTAAAATTCTAAAAGTCCCTCCAACCAGGACACAGAATAATATTTTGAATTATTTTAAGTTTCTCATTTTATCTTTGCTTTTATAACATACTATTATTCATATATATAATTTCTTGGTCAAGATCTAACATCTATTAAAAAAACATAAATGACGTTTTTCTGGCTGGTGGCTCAGTTGGTTGGAGCATTAACCGTCCACCAAAAAGGTCTCGGGTTCGATTCCCGGTTGGGCGATACGCCGAGGTTTTGGGGTCTGTCCCCAGCTGGGGCGTGTACAAGCGGCAACGAATCAATGTTTCTCTCTCACACTGATGTTTCTCTTTCTCCCTTCCGCTCTCTAAAATCAGTAAGTATATCCTCAGGTGAGAATGGAAAAAAACATATAAATGACGATGTACGTAGTTCCACATTAGAAAATGGTTAAAATGCAGAAAATGGGCAGGATAAAGCTCATGCAGCTTCATCATGGGATACAGGAAAGCACTCTCGTGTCTGCAAGGTACAAATTCAAATTCCATGTAAGCTACTACTCAGCAGTGTGATCTGGGAGAAGTTCCCTGGGGGGCTTGCTGTACCCAGCACACAGTAGGTACTAAAGTGTTAGTTTTCTTCCTGTCACTTATGGTTTTGAAGATCTGGGAATAAAGAGCTGCAGTGAAAATCACTTTTTTCTTTCACTTTTGAAATAAAAGGGAGGCATTTAGTTTCCCAATTCTGTTTCACTTGCATGAAGCAGCTACCTTTCCAGCAACAGGTAATTCTTTAGTTATACTAACATTACTTTTAGAAAAATGAATCTTGTGTTACTGATATGCGGACTTAATCTCTTTGGCATCTTTGAAAGGAAATAAAATTACATTTAAAAATATTAAACACATAAGAAACAAGCCAGCCAGGTAATGCCCCAATGAATCCTGAAAATTTATTACTTGGGAGAATATCAGATATTGATCTTTTGTTTTACAGCTCATGATAATAATCAGAAAACATACATTTTGAAGTGAGAGTCAAAAGAAAAGAATAATTACATATAATACAGACTACAGATATTTTATTTGTACATACGCAAAGCAGTACTAAAAGCATACTTATGTGTCCACAAGTAGCGAACGTGGCAATTTTCTGTTTAAAGCTGCAGCAACTCAAATCCTTGTTGGGTCAATAAAGAAAGACAGGTTGAGCAATACATTTAGGGCTATCACCGTGTCTGGCTGTAAACCTATTTTTTAATCTTTCCCTTCCCCCCATATATATATATATGTATATACTTTATTGCCTTTATATTTCTGCTGGTTTAATATAATTAGTATACTAAATAGTTATCTGCATTTATTTGGTTCTAAAAATATATAAAATGCATTGGAATAGAGCTCCTGCAGCTTTCAAGCAGCCACTGTCCCGGCATGGAAGCTATTCTGGAAATGTAAAGCAGCAATACTGAATAAATAGTGATTGTTTTGTCTTCTCCATACAGCTGATGGCCTTCACCCAAAACTTAAAAATACTGCAGCAAATAGTATAAACACGCAATTAAAAAAATGGATATAATATAAAAGTAACACGAGCAAAATTTTATACAATATGGACTAATAAAGACAACGTAGCAGGTAGAAGAGGGATGTGAACACAACACTGTTATTTACATATAAATTAAGGCCCAATTTTTCAGAGGCAATGCACACCGGGAACCGCCCATCTGCCCACGCGCCCGCCACACAACTGGAGTCAAGAGTTTTCGCTTTTCGGTTTTTATTTCCTCAATTCATTATTATAGTTTTAATTTGGAAAGATGTTCACAGAAAAGGTTTCAATAAAGTTTCTTTTTTCTAAAGACAGTTTTGCTCTTATTCACAAAGAAAATTTTCTTTTAATGCAGATAAAAAAATTATTTATGCTCCAGAAGCAAATGCTTATTTGCTCCTCTTGAACACTGTTAAAATTCACATTTCACACCATAAGCCTTATATTTTTACTGTAAGAGTCTTGTGTTAGCTCTAGTTTATGACTAATGACGACTAACTTGAACTATGGGAATTGAGGGTTAGTTTAGTGAGGACTTGGGGAAGCTGAAGCTTCACATGTAAATCCCCTGTGCATCAAGATGAAAAACAAATGCTAATGGACCAAAGTATCTTATAAGAACCACAAAAGGACTGTGGCAACCCACAACAGGTCATTCTATGTGGATGACAGATGCTCAAAGGGTCATATATACTAATGCTATTTCAAATTATTCCTTGGTAAAAAAATTATCTTCTAATGTATTTAATACTTGTAGAAAATCACAACAAAAGAATTTGCAGTACAGTAACAAAGAAGTTGTCACCTAATTTAGCCTTTAGAACCTGAATATTCCCCAGATTCAAAATTTTATATTTGGTATTTTTATATACCATTGCTGCCCCTCGCCCCCAATATATCCAAAGATGTGGCACTTAATCTAACTCATTTATATTCACAATGGATAAAAGTGATTAGGAACAACTAAAATATTTTAAAGATGTTCTAGAGAAATGAGTTTTCTTTGCACTATTTTAAAAAAAGACTTAGAAAATATTTCTTAGAGGTGTGCTTCTGGAAGTAATATAACTGATTAAAAAGTACAGCTGCTCATTGTATTCATCAAGTTCATGTTTATATACTCTTCTCATCTAGGAAATAGTATTTTTATATGTAATTAGATCATAAACTCAGATGAAGTTGTCAGAGAGGTTACCTGTGATACAAGGCTGGGGAACCCAAGACCACTAAGGTGGAAGGACGCTGCCAGTCTCTAGTTATTAATGCTGATAAGAATTTACATCAACAAATTTGGGTACTGACTTATGTTTCTCATGGCATGCCACGTTGAATATATCTTTAGTTTCACACTTTGATTTAAACAGAATGCGATCAGTTTATAAAAATATTTTTCTTTGTGAATAAGACCACGACTTCTCTGAGTAACAGTAACAAAATGACTCAGTACAGGATGGAACCCTTTGAAAATAAGGCGTATGTCAGGCATCCATACATCATTATTGTCACAAAATCTACAAATTACTTTGATTTTTTAATTCTCATAATTTTTAATCATATGTAGATATGAAATATCTATTATAAATTGAGAGCAGATGTGTATAAATTGAGAGCAAAAATGATTCTTATTTAGGTAAAAATCATTTACTTCTCAAGTTATTTGCAAAATAGTAACAATGGCAAGTCAACTCAATAACTCCAAGAATCCAAAGAAAGTAATACCTTTAGTTGAGGTCTGCCATTTAGCTGAACTAGAAAAGGCAACTCTGAATTATCACTTTCAGTTGTCTAGAAGCTTCTATGTATTTTCATAGCCATTCTTATAACTTTCCATTGGAAACCTAAATATAGCAGCATTCTCAGCATTCATTAAAGCAAAAATAAGTCAAATGTGTTAAAACATCCAAAGTTGCCCTCATGCATAAGCTACAACTTACATCTTTTATTGTTACCATGGCATTAATATACTAATCCACCATTACTCTGTTGCATGGAATACAGAGAATGTATTTTTCTGTGAATTAAAAACTATTAATTTCAGAAAAAGCTCTTAATTAAGTTGTACCAAATTCTGATCAGAGGGAATGTAAAAATGGCTCAGAGGTATCTGACCATATCCATTTAGATATTGTGAGTCTTATTAGTTAAATCACTACTCATGGGAGGGGTGCTGACTCATTTTTGGTGTTATAAATAAGAAAATATGTGTACAAATGGAGATTAACGTCCTATAAAAGTCAAGCTCAAAAATGAAAACAAACACTGAATTTAACTTTATGTCCTTGGTAAAAAGTACCTAACTCCAACCTACTTTCTTGCTATTTAAGTGATTGGAGAGATCGCAATAGTCCATAATGTACAGAGCAAATAGTGTGCAAGTAACTAACACCTTACCCGTGGGTGCTGACACCAAAAGACCACACAAATGAAGTGGGTTATTTAAAAAATACATCACTTAAAACAACCTTCCTAAACTAGACTGCCCTGGTCCTCAGATACCTCTAACTTATACATATGGCGACTCTGAGGATCCACGCGAGGAAAACCATAAGGCAGGGCAGAATGTATCAGGAACCCCGCGCCTGTCTGGGTAGATGTTCAGCATTCACATCTCCGTTCAACAGTGTTGGAAGCACTGCAAACCATTTAAACATATAATTTACGTCATGAAAATACTCCTGTTCTGGTATGTAGTCATTCAAATACTGAAAATATTGTAAAGAAAAGATTAAACCCCAGATTAAAAAGAAAAGCTGAATTATTTCACCCAACTAAGCAATGGCTAGGACAAGTTCACAAAGTAAATGTACGTGGACTCTTTCGGAGTCAGCTTCGATGGCGGAGCACCCGATGACACTTGCGTAGTTGTAAATCAGCAATGCACGCTGGAGTCTGGCCACATGCACACACAGTCATAATCACACAGTATGTAAGTATTAATAAAAAACAGTAAAACATCAACATTCACACAGTAATTGATTACATGGAATAAATTAAACTAAGCCAGTCACATACTTCTCTTCAATCTTAAGTCACGGTTTTTTTATGTATACACACAGTTTAATACTTCTCTAAAGCTCTCAAAATGCTACAAATAAAAACGAAGGCTTTGCATTACAGCTGCTGGATAAAAATGTCAACACTGTTGATGTGTGGAAACAGTTTCTTTGTTCTTTAGCATCAGTGCACAAGGTATGGCTCCGAGTGGTATGCAATTTAGGACAGAAAAAGATATGGTGGCTTGTGAAATACATCTCTGTTCGTCATTGGCACAAAACAAAGAAAGAATTTTTACTGTCCGTGGTACCTTTATTGGGTCTCTCTCCTAAAGACGTTATACATATATGCCTTCGGGATTGAAACCAGATGAAATAGGATTCTGCAGGATCCGAAGGTTACTGGGGAGCTGCCGAGACGAACCAGGCCGCTTCAGGGACCCAGACTGGAAGGCTGCCTCTAAACAGGAAATAGAGTCATCGGATGTACTCATCAGCTTGAATACTTAGCAATAGGAAAAATTAGAACTTTTCTTGCCCTAAGGAACATACAGTGACAATTACAATCCCCTGTGGGTCCGGGGGTGACAGAAGAAGGCTAACTCTGCTTGACACTCTCAGCTGATAAACCGAGTTTTCAGTGATTTGAACAGTTAATGATCTTTCCAGAAGGTAAGCAATTTGCTTCTTTCTTGGTTGTTCATACCACATTCATATACTGATTTAGAAGTGTCTTTTATTTATTTATTTATTTATTTATTTAAATTTTATTTTTGTTTAAAATATTACAGATGTCCCTTTTTCTCCCCAATGACCTGTTCCCCCCCGTTCCTTCCCCCTCCCCAGTCCCTCTCCCCACCATTGTCCGTGTCCTTGGGTTGTGCATATATGCATATAAATTCTTTGGTTACTCTCTCCCCCTCTACCCACCCGCCCTCCTCCATCCCTCTGACATTCATCAGTCTCATCTATGCTTCCATGTCATTGAATCTATTCTGTTCATCAGTTTATTACGTTCTTTAGATTCCCCGTATAAGTGAGATCATGTGATATTTTTCTTTACACCATGGAGTACTACGCAGCTGTAAAGAAGAAGAATCTCGTACCCTTTGGGACAGTATGGATGGACCTGGAGAATATTATGCTAAGTGAAATAAGCTAGAAGTGTCTTTTAAATATCAGCTCAAATTAATTAATTTTAGGAGAGGAAGAAGGGACATTAGGAACAGACAGAAGCTAAAACTCAAATAGACTATGACTCATGCAATCTTCAGGAAAATGATATAAGATTTGGTGATTTCATGCTCATTTAAGTAAACAAATAACTTAAATATTATTGCTTTTCCCCAGAAACAGTGAGTACATCAAAATTTTTTTTAAATGCCCCAAGAGAATTAGCTTTGAATTGTTAGACTAACACTTTTACTGAATGCCAGAAGTCTATGTAAAGTTAACTGGTGAGAATAAAGTTGAAAAAAGAAAAAAAAAAAAAAGCAGATTTCTCAACATCTTACCCCTTTCTAGGTCTGCATGTGAGGCCTCTACTTCAATAGGCTCCGCTGGCAAAACGGTTACTTTTGTCCCTGTCTGCTGGATAAACTGCTGGAGATTGACCTGCCGCAGCTCTTTAGTCAACTGCTCCAGTTCTTGTTCTTTGTCCTAGAAAGAAGTTACAATTTTTTTTAAATTTGAGGATTTGGGATTGGCCAGCCATCCTGGTGACAGTCCATCAGCTGCAGGGCTGAATGTGGGATACTCGCTCTCACAGGAGAGAATTTAACAAGTCTGGGTAACAGCCATACAAGGGGCTAAAGAGGTCACTTTCTGTGTGCATGGGCCCAAAAATAAGCAAACAAAAGACAGGCTAGCCTGGCCCCTTAAATGATGATTTCCTTTGTTAGGAATATATTATGCACCTGATGAAATAAATACATGTCTATAAATATTCATCAATAAAATACTAGTTTCCATCCATTCCAGTGCTTACAGTAATCTTGCTAAGCTGTTAACAATTAAATTTCCCTGTTATCCCCTTCATAACTGACTGCAAAATGAATAGTCCTTTGGTCCATGAGATGCAGAGTTCTTGCTTTCTGTAAACTGTTTAAGTTCTCATGAGATCTGTTACTGAAATTTATAGGATAGCAAGAGGAAAGCACGATTCCCACAGGATTCTCACTATGGGGTTTTTAAATCTTTGGAGAAGACAGTTTTGAGAATTGCAGAGCCCTAAAGAAGAGAGATCAAGTTTGGACAGCTGGAAGAGTCTGAAAGCAAGGAGAGGCATTCTGTGATTTAAATGGATTTTCTCTCCTTCCTCTCCTTTTCTGTACTCGAAGAAAAAGTGTCAAGGCCCCACCTAGGCAGGGTGTGTCTGAGGGTTTGGAAGCAGCAGGAAAGACAACCATAGGGAAAGAGTGGTTGTTTACTTGCTTTGAGGGTAGGGGGTACTTGGAGGTATGTTGCTAGTTTGACTATTAGGTATCTTTCACTAGGTAGTGGGATTTACTAGCAATGACTGTCATAAATTAGTGTTTCCTGTAAGTAATACTGTCTTTTCAAAGGCAACACAATTTCCAATTGTACCCTTGAAGTGTCAAAATGAATTCAAATAGTAAAATACTGACAAATCAGAGGTTAGCAACCTTCTATTGAGAAATTACTGATTTTCAAAATTGGAGGGGGGAGAGAGCAGTTTCATCTCTCACGACATATAGTTAATGATGGAGAAATCACATGAGATCTTCCTGAAACCTTAGCTTTTTCGGCTTCTGGAATGGTTCATACTCTAAGGCAGCTCTTCTCAAACTGCAGTGTCACAGGTACTGACTGGAGATCTTGTTATAACGTGGACTGTGAACTTCTAGCCAGTGTGCCCGAAGCCTCATGACCGCACTCTGGGCAGCAAGCTTCCATGCCTGCACTGTCCAGTACGGGACGCTGAGCACCTGAAACGTGGCCAGCTGTGACTAAAAGCCACCTTACGTTTACTTAATAGTTGTAAACAGCTTTATGGAATATTATTTAATCTTAATTAGTTTAAATTTAAGTAGCCTGTTATGATCAACTGTGTGTCTTTCTCATATCAACTCCCGTAACATCACCACATTGCCTTTTCAAGAATGGGTATCCAAGAATGTAAGTTGAGTGATCAGGGTATATGTGATGATCTATAAATGTTCTTATACCCCAACTGCAGAGAGGGAGAAAAATCAGAGAGAAGGCTTTGTGCCCCCTCCTCAGGAAGCAAAGGAGGTAACCTGGAGAGGGGAAAAGGGAACGGGACTGTTTCCGTACAGATGAGCAGCCAACTAGCCTTACGATCCTCGGTAATCCAATCCTTGGTAATCTCTTTCAGCCTTGGGTTTCCCTATCTCTAAAAGAAGGTCACATTCACTATGGCATCCTTAGTGTCCATCCCAGCTGAGATTCCCTTCTCCTATATCGGGATTACCTAAGGCGGCAGCCGCCACAGTAAGACAGCCCCTTCCCTGGAGCAAGGATCAGCAGGGCTTTAGCGCTCACCTTTGTTTTGGTCTCACACCTGAGCTTGATTGTAAATCACAAGATTTCTAAAAAAGTTATACACTAAGGCAGGTGTCTAACTTTAAATGTAAGAGAAAATGGCTAGTCATTAGAGATGTCAAAAATATATTAATTCTTTTTCAATAGATGAAACACATGTACTTACCTGCAATCGCTTGGTGGCTTGTCCAAGAGATCTTTCCACAGCTTTAATGCCATTTTCCAGCCTCAGGCTCTGCTGGCCTTGAATGTCAATTTCCCCTTTGACCTTTCCGATCTTTCCTTTAACTTCTTCTTCATTGACCTGTGCCTCCTGGACTTCCCGTTGCAATTTTTCTGCCTCCAGACCGCTTTCCATAGTCTGGATCTGAGCCAAATAGTCCTTTAATTTGCTCTCACACTCTGTTATTTTCTGTCTTATTTCTTGAAGTTGATCCTTCAGCTGTTTTTCATTTTCCTGTTCAATCTGTAATTCATTTTCCCAAAATTCCTCCTCTTCAATTTCTACATCATTCCTTTTGATCTTTTGCTCCAGGCGGACAATTTCCTCTTCAAGGTTAGAACTGTATTTTTGCTCCCAAAACTGTATCTCTATTTCATTTGACTTCAGCTCTTTCTCAATGGACTGAAGCTTCTCTGTCTGCAAACGGATCAGTTTCTTTAATTCGTCTGCTGTCGTTCGGCAGTTATTTAGCACCTTTTGCTTAAATTCAGTTTCTTTGCCTTTTCCAAAAATGTCCATTAATCCTTTGGCGCCTCCTGTAAATGTTAATGATTTCCTCTTAGGTTCTCTGCGTTTGATTGATTTGTCAACCTGAGGCCTCAGCTTGGCTAAGGGGGGCAAACTCTGCCTGTATAAAGTTCTTTCAGGAATTCGCGCCACGCTGTCGGAAGTGGGCCGCTCACTGAGAGAGGGCCCCGTCCGACGTAAAATAAGCTGCACGTCACTAGCATACTGCCCCCATTTGTTTAAGGATATGATGGGATTTTCATGAGGTGCCAAATGTCTCTCAGTGTCTCTCCATTTTTCTATCAGAGTGTACCTTCCAGTTCGACCTAGACAAGAAAAGATAACAATATACTGTCACATGCGATAGCTAAAAGAATGATATAAATGATGCTATTTGATAGTCTTCTTGATTAGCATCAAGGTCTGATCCATGCCGCCTGTGAAACTTTCACTTGAAGACACTGAACTCTTTGAGATGTGTAACAGCACAAACTCACAGGATGTGAACTGCATATACTCTTCAGACTTGCTTAGAAATTCAACTTTATACTTGAAACTTCAGTGAGAATCTTATACTCTTGTCAAGTACCTGATGGCCTAGACCTTCTTGCTCGGAGCAAGACCTCCCTCTGAAACAAAGGAGGACACTAGGATGCCCCCTGGAAGCCGGGAGGGCTGCTCCCAGGAACCAGGTAGCACTCCAAAACCTGAATAAACTTCCACTTTGTAATCCTCTGCTTTCTCTACTCATTAGGACTTGGGGAGGTTGGAGGCCCATTTCTCCACCTCAAAGGAGACAGGAAGCCAGTGGGGAACCTGCTGCTCAGCTAACAGGCAGCTGGACAGGTCTTTCCTGTCTCCCCACGAGGCCTTGGCAAACCCATAGTTTCCACAGCTGGTGTCTTCCTGCACACCTGTGGCAAATAAAATAAATCACCTCACTAAAAACAACCCTTCAAAATAATTTCACATAAAAAAGAGGGGCCTGAAGAAAAGTTTTGTTCCATTTTGATAGTAATAGCTTCAAAGATCCCTCTAAAATATTTAAAAGGCAAAAATAGTATTAAAAGCAAAAACAGAATAAACTCACATTTAAATTAAAAAAAACACACTGAACCTAACTAGTAATTATGGAAGATTAAGTTTCAGAAGACAATATAATGCCATTAGCATGAATATACTTCCTCAATATTTCCATTTAAGGTGAGTGGTTCAGATGGATTACATGAATTTTGTTAAGGTTGTCCATCAGATGACACCTGAAACTAATATAATGTTATATGTTAATTATATCTCAATGAAAAGAAGTGTCCATTAGTAGTTAATGTTATGAGAAAGAAAAAAACTGACCCTGCTACCTAGCAATTATAATACTTGCATATATAGCTACTGACTGATTTTCCCTGCCTTCTTTTTCAATTTCATGAGCTTCTAAACCAACAGAAGCATTTTCTCAATTACTGTGTCACTAAGTAGAGATCTGGATATGTAACTATGAACACCCATGGATGCAATTCTGAAGCAGCACATGAGGAATGATACTGCTTTGAGCACATGCAATGTGCTCTGTTAAGGGAACCTGAAAAGTTGGAGAGTTGGAGGCAAACACACTGGAGACTTAATTCTGGGTAAATTACTTACTGGAAGCAGCAGAATTTTACTTCTATATGAGGAGAGTAGCAGAGCCTCACAGGTTATAATAGAGTCAAGTGCGGTAAAGCACGTACCACGACACCTGGCCCATAGCAGGTGCTCGGTACATGGCAGCCTTTATTAAAGACACTGTTGCATAATGAAAGGGCTGACCAGGGACCTCCTTTAAATAGGGATAATCTGACTTTAACAAAATCCTGAAGCAACTTTCAGCAACTCCCAACCCTGTAAAGCTACACAGGAGCAGAAGGAAGAACTTCGGAGTAGGAAGGCCTGTGTTCAGATCTGCCTCGGCCATCCATTTACATGATTTGCACAATTTATTACATTTCCTTTAGCTTCCGTTTCCTCATCAACAAGGTGAGTGTATTTTCTTACTTGACAGTGTTGCTGTGAGAGTCAAGTGAGATGTCAAATATAAAAATGTTTTGTAAAACTGAAAAGTGCTACACAAATATTAGGTTATTCTCAAAATACCTGGGCAAACAAAGGGAATGAAAAGAAAGCCTCAGCATATTGATTGGTTTGTAACAATTTTCAGGTTAAAAATTACTGGAATCACCCCAAGAAAAGCCACATGACAAATGTGCAAGGAACACACTGCTTCAATGATCACAGCACTTTGTGTTCCTGGCTCTGCTGCTTTTTAACTGCTTTTAGGATCCACTCCTGCCGCTGGACCTCTGGGTCCGCATCGGTCACAGGAGGGGTTAGACTAGGCCTATCTAATTCGATCAGGCCAATGAAGTGTCTTTAAAAAGAAAACTGAATCGTTAAACTATTCAAGCTAAATTAAAAGTTTTAAAGACTCGAATACAGTCATAATTAAACATAAACCTGACTTTTCCAATGCTTAATGGTACTGTTGCCCTTTGAGAATGTCTTGGTAGAAGATTATTTAGAATTACTTTTACTGCCAGTTTTTCCCTTTTGTTAAATAATGCACATTTAGTACAATTAAGAAAAAAAAGAAAAGAAAGAGAAAAGATTCCATCCAGTAATATAAAAAAGGTTTTTAAAAAGGTAAATGAATAGCTTTGATTTTATTATAGAAATTGAGTTTTAGATAGTTTATGTAAGAATTAAATCCCATAATCATTGTTTCTAATACCTATATTTGGCAAGGCTCTACAGATCCTATTTGATTTAGATAAATTCAAATTTCTCCTGAAAAACTCCCTTTAGAGCATTTTATTAAATGGATACATTTAGTTCTACCTCGCATACTACCTTGATGTAGCCTTAAAACTAATAAAAAGGAATATCTATCTATTATCTATCTATCTATCTATCTATCTATCTATCTATCTATCTATCTATCTATCTACCTACCTATCATCTATCTATCTATCTATCTATCTATCTATCTATCTATCTATCTATCTATCTATCTATCTATCATCTATCTATATCATCTTTCATCTATCATCTATCTGTGCCATTTGCAATTGAAGCCGTTTTGGCACCTAGCACTGTGTGTCACATTATGTAATGGTAAATAAAATACTGACTAGCCCTGGCCGGTGGCTCAGTTGGTTGGAGCACTGTCCCATACACAAAAAAGGTTGTGGGTTTGATTCCCGGTCAGGGCACATACCTAGTTTGGGTTTGTTTCCTGGTCCGGGCATGTATGGGAGGCAACCAATCCATTTTCACATCGATGTTTCTCTCTCTCTCTCCCCACCATCCCTTTCTCTCTCTCTCAAATCAATAAAAACATCCTCAGGTGAGGAATATATACACACTCACCCATATCTATCTATCTATCATCTATCTATCATCTATCATCTATTTATCTATCTATCTATCATCATCAATATCTATCTATCATCTATCTATCTATCATCTATCATCGATATCTTTCTATCTATCTATCATCTATCATCGATATCTATCTATCTATCATCTATCTATCTGTCATCTATCTATCACCTACCTACCTACCTACCTACCTATCTATCTATCTATCTATCTATCTATCTATCTATCTATCTATCTATCTAATCTATCTATCTATCATCTTATACTTCTTTAAGAGAAGGATGCAGGGGGCCGGAGAGGGAGATGTGAGAAGCACTGGCCGGTCGCCTCCGCACTGCCCTAGAAACTTTTATTAAGTACCTACATTAGGCAAAGCAAGGGTGCAAGAAAGGTAAACAAGCAGGGCACCCCTACTTTGGAGGGGCCTCCAGAGAAGAGGAAGAAGGGTTAGGTACCAAACCCAGAGAGCTCAGTGTAAGATGCGTCTGGAAACCGACTCCGCTGGGGCAGCTGCGTGCAACACGCGCCTCGGGGAGGAGCGCGCTCGCCTCGGGCCCTCGCCCTGCCCCTGTGCCCACTGAAGGCGGGCGCTCGCCTCGGGGCCCCGGCCCTGCCCCTGTTCCCACTGAAGGCGGGCGCTCGCCTCGGGGCCCCGGCCCTGCCCCTGTTCCCACTGAAGGCGGGCGCTCGCCTCGGGGCCCCGGCCCTGCCCCTGTTCCCACTGAAGGCGGGCGCTCGCCTCGGGGCCCCGGCCCTGCCCCTGTTCCCACTGAAGGCGGGCGCTCGCCTCGGGGCCCCGGCCCTGCCCCTGTTCCCACTGAAGGCGGGCGCTCGCCTCGGGGCCCCGGCCCTGCCCCTGTTCCCACTGAAGGCGGGCGCTCGCCTCGGGGCCCCGGCCCTGCCCCTGTTCCCANGGAACGCGGGCGCTCGCCTCCCTCGAAGGCGCTCCGGGACCGGAGGCTATGTGTGAACACAGGACAGTTCCGAGTCATCACCACCTTAAATGACACTAGGCACCAAAGGGCTGTGAAGCAGAAACCCTTCCCTCAGCCCCCCAGCCTCTTCCTCCCCTTTTCCTCTCCAATCTCTTGTTAGCTACACACTGGAGGGCGAGAGGGGAAAGAGAGGGGGGCACTGATGTGAGGGGGAAGCACGGGATGCCTCTCGCACTGGCCCCACTGAAGGCTGAACCCGAAACCTGGGCATGTGCTCTGAGTGGGAGGCAAACCTGCTGCTTTGGGTGTGTGTGTGTGTGTGTGTGCATATATATATGTGTGTATATATATATATATATATATATATATATATATATATATAGCTACCATGAGTTGGCCTTAAACCCAAGAAACCAGTCTACAAGTTGCTTCACTAAATTTTTTAGAAACGTGCAGCCAGTCCATACTCTGCTAACAGCATAGCTAAACTTTTACTGGGTTAAGCCACAGAAATTCTGGGGTGGTTTGTTACAACAGCAATTTCTCCTAATTAATAAACCCTCTATTATTTCTTATAGTAGAAAATAGGTCAAATAGTATAAAAGTTTCATCTACTGTTTAGACTGAATACCAGTAACTCTCATTATGAGGCAGATAAATATTTAAGCGTTTATCAGAAGCATAGTGCATTTGATGTGGAGACAATCTCATGGCAGGATAGAAGCAAGGATCCACAGCCCTGGGCTGGCTGCCAGTTGAGTCATCTCTTAGATGAATTCTGAATTCAATGAAGTATTTATGATATAGAAAAAGAGTGCTGAGCCAAGTTTGGAGAAATATAAAACATCCATATTCAAGCTGTCAACTTTTCAAAACAGGTCTGGACTGAGTTCTTAAGGAAGCAAAAAATGGGGAACAGATTCCGTTAAAACTTCTTTTTAGCTTGCTCACAGACAAGTACACTCCTTAGTCCAAATGAATAAACTCACACCTGGTACTTCTGGGCATTTTCCCCTTGAAATTCTGTGTAGAGAATGTAGTTACCACATGAAGAGATGTAGCTTGCCACACTCCTCAAGTACCCCGACTTTTGTTTTTGTTCATTTGTTTTTACTACTGCTCGTGGCTTGATTCTCAAATATAACAAAGTTAGGTTTGACACTTGCTAATCCTAGTTTTCACTAAGCAGGGAAAACACACACACACACACCCTGAATATTTTAATTCAAATAAATTATGTGAAACTCTTCAAAGGGACAAATATTAAAGATAGTTGCAAAGAATATGAAATAAAATGAAATACCTTAATTCTCCCCTCTTTAATAAATAAGCTTAAGTCCATAATACAGTATTAGTCCCAACTGCAGGAACATTTTGTTAGATGTGAAAGCCTGGGATTTTCAGCACTGTTTGAGACAGGAGTGTGCTATACAGTATTTAAGGCAAAACCAAAAGAAAGCCTCTGTCTCTGTATAGGGCATTGCCAGCTTCTAACAGTGCATCTGCCACAGTGCAGGCGGCACAACTGTCTGTACAAAATGTTAAGCTGACCTGTTTCAATCCTGAGCTAATCTGACATGCTTTCGATATAAACCAGTATGACACAAAATAAACTTTTGATAAGAAGCTCAAACACAAAGAGGCACCGAGCACCTAGCATGGTGCTGAACACAGTTTCCTCTTAATACATATTTGCTGAATAATGGATTTAAGATGCAAATATAAACTTGAACCCACACTGTTGGCTTTTCCAATGCAGGTGTTTATGCCTTCATCATGTTTCAAAAGGATTTAACTTAAAGCAACTAAAAACACACATGAAATGTGATAAAGATAAACTGGGAGTAAATAAGAAGAAAAGCTGCAAAAGGGTAACTGAGTAAGATAGAGCCAGTAAGCACATACTTAACAACTTTGTCTTCATTATATAATAAGATTTAAAAAGTACACATTATCTTTCTAGTGAAGAAGCATGTTATTTAATTTGTTGCATTTTCTTTTCTAAAAGTATAAAGAAAAAACAATAAATAGGATTTTTCCTAATGAGGGTTCTGGAACTAGGACTCTAGGTTTTGACATCTTTAGTTCCCAAAATTATTGTTTAGGATAAACAGCAGAAGAGAAGACAGCACAGACCCTAGACTCAAGATTAGTATAATATGGGGGGAAACAGAAACCAGAGTCTTTACAGATTTACCTAAGCACAGGGAACAGTAAGAAGTAAAAGTGTGCTTGTGAGATGTCTCATGAAACCAAATGAACAAACACCACTAGAGATCTATATTTAGAACAAACAAACAAACCACAACAGGACCCATAAACCATTTTATCTCAGACACCCCGGGATTTCACTTACCTATCGCTTGAGCTAAGGCTATTACGACCTCTTGGCAAGTTGTGACTTCGGTGACCCCACAAACAATCCTCTGAACTCCATCCACCCATACTTTAAGTTCCATGGTGTACCAGCCAGTCACCCAAGGGCCCTGAGACTGGTCATGAAAGGTGTCAGGTCATGTCTGACTATGGAAACACGGAGAAGGCAGTCTGTGTAGTCAGCTAAAAAGAGGAAAACACATAGTTAATGGAGTGAATCTTAGTATTTCTTCTAGTATGTAAATATTACACAAATTTAAATATGTGATAATCCTGTCATTAATGACCATGTGCTTATTTTACAGGACCGAATTCTGCTGCATGAATGCAACTACATCCACCTGTCACAACATTGTTTCATAACACTATTGTTTTCATTATTATAATTGTAATGATAAAGTCACTCTCTATTGGGTAAATAAATCTCATTTACTTGACTGAGCCCTATTGCTCAACATATAAGCTGTTTCTTTTTTTTAAAAAATTATTTCATTAGAATCATTCCTGAGGTTAAAGAGAAATACAAAAAAAGTTTTTGTCATTTTAGGAATCATATGTAATTGAACCAGTTTCTACAGCCCTGGCAGCATTTGTAGAGGTATCTGCACAACTCCATTGCACTCCTTTGCTCTCTGTGCCCCCTCCTCTCTTCCCTGAAGGGCCGAGCGTGCCGTCTTCACCACTCAAACCCCAACACCAAGCGCAGCATAAGGCTCAGGGGGGCACAGAGAGTACCGGCTGCAGGAAATGAATTCCTTTGATGGCTGACAACTTTCCTATATAAGTCTTTTTCTCACTGATTTAATTAGGGTTTGATAATTTCTTTAAATTCTAAGTTATTCCAATAATATAAACCTTAACCTTTTGTTACACCTGCTGTGCTCCCTGTGTTTGATTTTTCTGTTCAGCTGCACTGTGTACCAGGCAGAGCTTCCACATTCTCCTACAGCCAGATCAAATGCCTTGATTCCTCTATTCATTAGTGTTGTTATGCGCTGCTAAAGATCAGTTACACACAACTCCTTTTCCTGTGGGTTTTGAAAATCTCAGCTCTTCCTGCATTAAATCTGTCATCAACTATGATTTGTTTGTCCATTGTCCTTGTGATCGTCCTGTTTCTTTGCTGTTTTTTAAAAAAGTTAAAGTTTACAAGGTGTAATAAACACTGTTTAATTAGAAAGAACATGAATTTGTTTAGGGGTTTACAACAGAACCGGTGTTGTGAGATTAATGACTTATTAAGAAGCTTATTTTAAAAACCCTAAATTTTTTTCTTGTAAAATAGTATTGACGACAAACAGTAGCTTAGTCCTTGTACATTCTCGTAAAGGTCCTAAGACAGTTCTAGGCCACCTGGCCACCTGGGTAGATGAGTCAGAATACATGTGAGTTGAAGGAGAATAAACCTAATAATACTCCTACTTTCTCCGGGGAAGTCACAAAAATAGTTCTTGCATCCTGAAAACAAGGGAAAGGCCTGGCCGAGTGGTATTTCGCAGCAGGCCACAAGCTCTGCACTGCTAGGTGGCTCCTAACCCCATGGAGCAGAGAGAGGCCCGCTGCCTGGGACAGGCTGGTGCCCGCAACTGCGCCTCGCCATGAAGTCCTGTGAGCTGTTAGTTTCGGGGGAAAGGGGGTTCTGAAGCCAAAGAATTGTAAGAAACGCAGTAAACAGAGTCAAACAAGTTTCTTTACGTGGAGATTTCTCTGAGCCTTTAGTAGGCTGGTGTGCACTCTACACGTCAGGTAAGAGGTTTATACGCTACTGTCCCCAGTCCGTTTAGAGGACATTTAAGGAACGGAAACAGAAGAGTTCCGACTTAAAATTTGTTACCTTCTCTGCTAGGCACTCTACTAAAATTAGAATATGTACCATTCTTTCTTGGAATAAAATTAAGATTAAAAAATGGCCAAACAATATATATCGTATTAAATTAATATATTAAAATTAAATTATTTTATTAAAATAAATAAAACAACTGAATTTAAAAAAAACTCAGCTGCATTAAAATCTATTGAATATCTAGTTCCTTATTTGTCATTAAACTTGGGAAATCTAACAAGAAAGACATCAGATCTCATTAAAAGTCTCCCTTCCCCACAAGAGACCTGTCATTTCACAGAAACTTATGAGGCTCATCTTTATTTTCTATACAGGTTTTCGTGTGCTACCAGATACTTTCCCATCTAAATTATCACTGTTTCACCTTGAGCTTTTAATCATTAAGTGAACACAAACAAACACGAAACACACGTCCGTCTGTTACTTATCACAGAGAACAGTGACGTGGGAAACACGGCGTGAAGAGCACTGCCTAGTTAATACAAACGTGCAGGGCATTCAACCACCTGATCAGAGACTTCCTCCCACGGGTCATCGCAGACAAGACCAATGTCTGCTGTTTGGTTTTAACACCACGAGCACCTTTCAACCCTGAATGGTTAAGGACGGTAGGAAATGCCTTCATGGATCAGATCAATGAACCACACGGTCCCAAATTTTATTCCTAGGAGGGCCAGTTTTTAGTACATGGCTTCTGCCAAGGTTGGGGCTGTACTGACAATCATCCCTAGCTTCCTTAAAAATCAGGGTGTCATTCATGAGAATGGTCATTTAAAGAATCTATCTTCCCAGCAGTGGCCCCTAGAACTCCCTTCTAGGAGCTGCCACCCTGCTCTTTCCTTCAGACCCTCCAAAGTCCAACTCCTAAAGTTCTATTCCCAGCTCCAGAACTAGGCTAGAGGGAAAAATCAAATCCTACATTGTAGGTAACTGTGATGGACTGGTCATCGTTGGAAGTAAAGACTCAGGGGGAAAAAAGGCTTTGGAATCTCAGTTGGAATTTCACATAATTTTTTCCATGGAAACAGTGACGCAGGTAGAAGTAAGGTTCTACTGTAAGGATATTAATATAGGTGAGTTAGTGTTTTCATTATGAAGTTTCTATATTCAAACTACTATTATTTTAATAATTTTGATAATGAAGAAATAGGTTTATTAAGTAACATGCTACTGCTGAACAAGTGTTCTTTAGCTAAGAACCACTTATTATCTTAAAAGCCTATTGGGATTAAGCACCTGCATTTGGGGAGACAGAGAGAGGGAGACCAAGAGAGGGAGTGAGAGAAACATCAATCAATTGCCTCCCATATGCACCCCAACTGCACGATTAAATGTGCAACCTGGGTATCTACCCTGACTGGGAATGGAACCTGCGACCTTTCAGTGTACAGGATGACACTCCAACCAACTGAGCCACACCAGCCAGTGCCCAAAATGAATTCTCGACAACGGAAGTCCCGTGAGATGTGCATGGGAAGATAAGATTCCACAGTCCAACAATTTGGGAAACATTTCCTAACACTGTCTCTGGGAGACAGTGCACAGCAAGATAAAGGTTCTGAGCCCATAGTGGAGAAACTAGCTGATCTTTGTTAAACTTACAGTGACTTAGCATGGGGGGTGGGGTGTGAAAAGGGGGCACAATGCCAATAAAATACCCTGCTGAACTACAGGACACAAATTACCAACTTCTGAAAAATATGCCTATATATAAAATGAGATTTCTGCCAGCCCTTTAATGTATTTTGAGTCATCTAGAGGTGGTGATGGACACAACTGTTTAAAACTTTAGTAGGAACAATATAGAACAAAGGAGAAAATTTAATAGAACCCAAACTTTTCTCTCTCTTAAATGAAGTCTTGACTGCTATGACTGCCTGAGCCAACTCCTAAGGATGGGTTTTATATTTTTCTTTTTAGAGACACATCTAAATCATAGGATTTTTTCTTTGATAGTACGATTTGTTTGTTTTTTAATGCTCGCCTGAGGATATGTTGTTTTTTATTGATTTTGAGAGAGAGAGAGAGAGAGAGGGAGAGAGAGAGAGAAACACTGATGTGAAAGAAAAACACTGACCAGTTGCCTTCCTTATGTGACCAAACCAGGAATCAAGTCCATGACCTTTCAGTGTAGGGGATGATGCTCCGACCAACTGAGCCACCCAGCCAAGGCTGATAGCATGTTTTAAAAGTTCAACGCTAAGCAATCTCTGCATATTAATTACTAAATCCAATAAACCCATGCCTTTTCCTCTACTCTTCATCATCCTCAGGTCACAGTATTCAAACACATGCAACAATTTAACATTTCCCAAATATTACATGATCAAGTGACCATTCTGCAATTATGGTAAGGAACGGCATGAGTACTTACTAGTGCTAAGCACGGTATACTGTGTCTCATTTATTCACCACAACACAACAAATGAGACACAAGACACAAGCAAGTTAGGTGGTATTAACCTCATGTTAAAGATGAGAGAAGTGACTCTCAGAGAGCTTAAATAAGTCTCCCAAGGTCAAAAACCTAGTAATTTAGGGACATATATTCAAAACTGGGATGAATAAAGAAACTAAATAATAAATAAAGCAGGCTTCTCCAAAAGGATTCACTGTTCTCAAATAAATGTTTTCAAAATGTCCCAAGTTACACTAAGAAATCTCATTTATCACCCGCTGGAAATTTATTTCTATCAATAACGATCAGGCAACATGCACCAACCTGCCATGGCAGGACAAAGACAAGAGGTAACCCAACTAAATTATGGTAAGAAACTACAGTTTTAACTCAGATGCACATGCCAGCAAAATGAGTGTCTAATGGTCGGGCTCATTTTTCAGCATCAACAAATTATTCCTCTAATTTTGGAAGATTACATCCTTATTTACTTTTATAGAAATGTTTGCATATTTATGATAAATTTTAACTCTTGCCTTAAATACAAAGCAAAGATTTTGGGCATTTTCTTTAAGTTCACAAAACATCACTAAAAACTACTTCCTTGAATAAGCTATTTTTTTTCCAAGGGAACATTGATTAGCAGAAACAGCATGCACCAAGTTCAAATTCTGAGTCTACTACTTTCTGTGACTCAATTCGAGATGCATAACTTTTCAAGTGGCAGTTATAAAAAACAGAATGCCTTTTTTTTTTTAAATATACCTAGTACAGATGGGGCTTGGCAAAAAGTATGAATTCAACAAAAGCTAGTTCTGTGTATGGAAATGAAAATGGGCAAAGGACCGGAATAGACACTTCTCCAAAGAGGACATACAGATGGCCAAGAGACACATGAGAAAATGCTCAAGGTCACTAATCATCAGAGAGATGCAAATTAAA